TTATATAAAAGAAACAACTCATCCCATTCAACCATTTAATAAAAATAAACCTAATGAACATGTTAGATCTCATCTATCGCTATGACCAGTGGGGCATTAGGCAGAATCATGTAGGCCGTAGAAACAACAATAGACTCGACGACCCTAACTTATCACTAATATCAGTGGGGCATGAGGCAGAATCATGTAGGCCGTAATACAATAATAAGATCATAGGACTAACACATCTTTCAACCTATCCCTACGTCAATGATCTCGTGATGTGAACTATTCGTGAAAGCGCTCGATATTGGCTAAAACAACCGATTCAGGCATAGCACGCACACAGTTAAGGTCATGCCCTCTCTGGAACAGATCTACCAAATAACGATCCCCACTCCACGGTGCTAACAGTGGGGTGAGGCAGAATTACACAGGCCATGATAACGGGTCATGGAACAGTTTTCGCTAGCCAATAGATCTACTCAAGATCAGACATGCCTTAATCGCACGCTATGCACGATTAAGATTGATATAAAACAGCCGATAAAACATAACTCATAGTTTAAGGTGCAGATTAGATCAGCTTAGATTAACAAACGATGGGTTAAACAAGATATAAGGCCGATCTAGATCAATCCCAATCGGGCGAAGTGATATTGCTATAATTAGATAAATAATAGAAGTAATAAGCAATATCGGTAACTTAATGAATCTATCCGAAGGAACGCCACCCTTAGATAGAGTTGATAACTTGACCTTAATCTAGTTCGAGCAGTGGAGGTCGACCGAATCGATGCAGCCGTACTTGAACTAGATAAGAGTCGATAACTAGCTTATACCAGAGTCACAGTGGAGGTCGACCGGATCGATACAGCCATACGAATAGAAGTATAAGCCATGACGGTACTTACAAACAAGCAGTGGAGGTCGACAGGATCGATGCAGCCATACTTGCTGAAGAACTCGCCGAGATCTACTCTACTCCTACTCCTAAGGGGTGACCAGAGCCAAAAAAAGTAAGTAACTTGTATTGGATTGATTGTGTATTTTTTACAATAGCCGGAGTCTGATATTTATACCCGGAGCCTAAACATGAATCCTACTCGATCACGACTTGTTACAAACTTTGGCATAGAAGAAAACATCTCTAATTTAAGATAACTTGGACCCTAATCTTTCCCTTTTTGTAGAGTTCGATATGCAATTTCCTGGTGCCAACCATATCTCATCATTGCTATCTACTGACGTCATCCAAAGAGATCCGATTCCAGAGTCGTATCTGAATCAGCTGATATCGATCCTCATGCAATCGATTCATTGATGGGCACAATTTTGGAAGCCTTCGAATTCCTGCATTCTTCTCTCTAAATTTTGGTGTAAATACTAACTGACTAACTGCCTCGGCTGCGCGGGCTGCACCAAGGCTAGGATCCGCGAGCTTCGCCTCGCCCAATCCCTAAACTAGCTGACTAAATTGCTTCGACTGCGCGGGCTGCACCGATGCCAGGATCCACGACTCCGACTCACCCGATCCCACGGCACGCACCGATGCCAGGATCCACGACTCGGACTCGCCCGATCCCACGGCGTGCACCGACGCCAGGATCCACAACTCCGACTCTCCCGATCCCACGGTGCGCACCGACGCCAGGATCCACGACTCCGACTCGCCTGATCCCACGGCGCGCACCGACGCCAAGATCCACGACTCCGACTCGCCCGATCCCACGGCACGCACCGACGCCAGGATCCACGACTCTAACTCACTCGATCCCACGGCGTGCACCGACGCCAGGATCCACGACTCTGACTCACCCGATCCCACGGCACGCACCGACGCTAGGATCCACGACTACGACTCGCCCGATCCCACGGCACGCACCGACGCCAAGATCCACGAGCTCCATCTTGCCCGATCCCTAAAAATAAACTGACTCGACTAAAATACACGCACTCACGCCCGCTAACAAAAACCCTCAGACGATTCTGCCTGAATCGCCCGAGGGCTCGGGGGCTACACCCGCGGGTGCGCTCGCGCGCACCCGCTAACAAAACAAAACATTTCCTCCGCTGGCAACATGGAAAACCCCCCAGACGATTCTACCCGAATTGTCAGGGGGCTCGGGGGCTACACCCGCGGGTGCGCTCGCGTGCACCCGCCGTCGAGACAAAAATCCTCCAAACGATTCTACCCGAATCGCCCGGGGGCTCGGGTGCTCCTATCAGGTTCATAAACCCGGGGTCCCTTGTGGACCGGCTTCTCAACAAAGGCTCGGCCCAATAGACAACGTTGCGAGCACCGCACAACTCATGGGCCAGCCGAAATACCTAGACGACATGCTAGAAAGACGATCCAATCTCCGACCGGAAGGCCTGACCGAGGAGGAATGACGCCCGCTTCCGACTCCGGCCCACCTCTCCGACCGGAGCGTTCGCTTCGGTCTCCAGCCCGCCTCCGGATGGTCTCTCTGACCGGAAGGCTTAGCCAAAACGCCATTTCCGACTCCGGCCCGCTTCTCCGACCGGGAAAACGTCGGACCCCTGCCTACGGCTCCTCTCCGATTGGCGCAATCAGAGCTGACTGGGACCAACCGATCGGGACGCCCGCTCGGTAAGGACCAGAAAACAGACAGAGATAGCAAGGCAGCCAAGTCAACCGTAATACCGAGGACTGTACCCTGTACACCTGCATGACAGTACCCTGCGACCTCCCTGACATAACAGAACCCAAGCAGTGTTGTACGCGCCGATATTTTCCCAACAGTGTTATGAACGTCATCAACTCCAATACCAGACAAAAACGGTAAGGCTCCCCCACATGCATCTGAGGCATCGACAGTGTTGTAGGCGTCGGCATTTACCGTAGCAGGCGAACACAGTAAAACCCCACATGCCTCTGGGCATCAACAGTATAGCAGGTACCGACATCTGCCATACCTGAAGAAGACGACGCAACCTCCCACGTGCATATGACATTCCACAGTATTGTGGGTGCCTACCATCGTCTTGTACCCGTCGGCGTGGGCAGCAAGACTTAGCAGTGAACGTACTACATTCCTCTCGTTTGTAAAACCATCTCATTCATCTATAAACGGGGATACGCTCTCTTCTAACAGATAGGTTGATTCAGATCGATCAAGTTCACTAGTACACAACAGCAGAACCACCAGGTTCAAACCACGAGCACACGCTCGAACACTTAGCACATAGCAGAGCGTCCGTCGCTCTCGGTCCCTCTAACCAGAGTCCGACCGGACCTCTTGTACCCCTCATCTTTCTTCTTCTTATTTGTAACCTCACTACAAACTTCGAGCACCTGAGCTCAGGAATAAAGTCATCGACCGACTCAAACTGGACGTATGTCATGTTGTCTGAACCAGTATAAACTCTGTGTCATTGAGTGCTAGGACACCTCCGATCACAACGTACGGTAAAACTACGAATATTTACGTGTTTATCACTTTCTGCACCGACTCCATATGACCTTTTTCTCCGCAATGCTAATTTTGTTGCTCCCTACGATTTTCTGGCAGAAAAGGTTTTTTTTGGGTTGGGGGTTGGGGGGGAGGTCGGGAGCTAAGAAACGACACGGTGCGAGACAATGACACTATTGCACAGGGGTCGGTCCTTATTGGAGCAATGGTCACCGTCGTGCGCCGATGAATAATGTCCCGTGCCGAAATCATGTGTCGACAAAACAATTGCAATATATATAGGTAATATATCTTTTTTTTTCGAACGGTTTACGCGACACGGTTTGTTGCATGGTGGGGAGTGGTGAGTAGTCTTGTCCCCACGGCCCGCACGGATAACAACGTCCGACGCGGATCCGAAGAGGTGATGATAACGCCGGGGACGCAGCGACTTGGCTGAGAACCATGGGCTCGTCGCTGTTCTTGAATGAATTTCTGATTTTATGCAGGGATTCCCCAAGAAAGAGAAACGCGTCGCTTTCAGAGACGGCCCAGGCGTGCGAAAAATCCCAAAATCCCGTGTTGCAATTGCGACCGCCGGTGCAGTCGTGTGTGTTTGTCGCGGAAACATCAAATATCTACAGTAGCATACACCGGACGTCGCTCATCCTTGTGGGATGAACAAATATCAAAGATTTGCGTTTCAAATGCCGCCAATTCCCAGGAACAAATATCAAAGATTTGCGTTGCATACAGTATGGACTAATTGTATGCAGCACGTGAATTCATATATGGAGAAGTGTCTGAAGAAAACGAGGGCCTGCCATTCGCCAATCTCTACTGCAAAAATGGACTGTCACAACATTGTAGGTTGTAAATCAGTAATTCCACGGTAATTCATGAGTTAATTTGTTTTGGAATTAGATGAACCCCTCATTCGTTTTGATTTTTTTCAATTCCTCCTGCAGATGAAAAATGATTGATGCCACTCGACTATTGGAAAGATAAATAAGTAGGCATTCGCAACATATTGCAGTTACTTGTAAGCAAAGATATAGAATAAGCCTACCTAAAGAAAAAGCAGGTTTTGTGGAAACAAAAACCTAGAATAAGTTGGAATGTAGGACGCCTGATCCTGACCAAACACAATTCTCTTGACGCGTCAACCTAAGCTCTGGCTAACGTCATCTCTGACGTTGCCCAAAAACGCAGACAGACAGACGAAGATTACTAATCACTCTACCAAGCTGCTCTCTCATCTACACTACAAAATACCTCTTACGAACAAGAGTTGACAGGATAAACCGCATACTGCTACAACAAGGCTTTGCAAGAGATGAAACTAGGCAAGATGGATAAAATATAAATGCATTATCATGTTATCTGTAAACTGTTTTTTGATAGAGGAAGATTTTATTAAAATTTCAATAGCAGTATACATCGAGTCGATACACGGCTTTAAAAAAAGTTCTTCCGACCTCTGCCTAGCAAGATGCACATAGCCAACAAAAAACACCAAAACAAACGCATTCTAGTGACCAATCATGTTATCTGTAAATTGTACAGCACTATACGTATAACTAGGTCGTAGGAGTAGGTTGCTGTTCAGACACCAAATGCTGACTGCAGATGCGACCTGACGCTCCCTGATAGAAGGGCATTCGTTGTCCAATCCTGGATGTTCTTCTTGGCATCTGCAATATAAGCATAGCAATACAAGGTCAAGCTTAGAACAGAGCATGACATTGCATCGTTGCAGGCATGAATTTAAGTATGTAATGTAATTGAAGAGGTCTAACATCTTTGACGACCCAAGAAATTGTGCATAGTTCACGTGAGATGTCAGATGTGCTACATGTTAGAACTAAGCAGACAGTATGCAGGCAAGATGGTGTAAACGTATTTCTGAAAGGATGCTCCAGTGAAATCAATCCCATGCTATTTAGACTGGAGTAAATGGGCAACAACAAGGATAGTGAGTAATAGAAAACAAGCTAGAGAGGGGGCCATCTAAGTTGATCAGCTCAGCATTAGATAGCAAAGCAATAGAAAGATAACTTCAGGGTTCAGGATGTAGCAACAGATCCAGACAAGAATAGTCCACAATATTCTACTGCTACCTATCCACTTTGCAAATAGTAAACCAAACTTTTGAATCTGTAGATCATTTCATTCAGAAAAGAATTATAGGCCTGATTGATCAGCTTGAAGGAATAGCATGGTTTAGATTCAACAATCATAAGTATTCCAACAAGGTAGCATTCGATGCAGTACAGGAGAATGTGCACCTTTGTTGCATTTGGTGAACCCAATAATATTTGCGATGCTGAGGCTCAAGCAAACTCCAACAACAAGAAGGTAATCAGCTTGAAGTCTGATGAGCGAGAATATCCCAAGTATAATCCATGCAGCAGCCTGAAACATGGAAGGAATGGTATTTTTCAAATACTCTGAACTTAAGTTGCATCTCTCTATGGTGGACTACATATCAAGCAGAAAGATAAGTATGGGGAAGTGTAGGGATACATATGAATATCATTTTAACAACATAAAGTTTGCCATGTTTTCTTCACCTCTGCTTCCCAGTTCCTTTTTTCTTGAATATGCATGAGAGCTGTGTATCATTTCATTAAGAACATGGAGTATAGAACGCACACAAACACACACAAATGCACACAAGTGGCAGGACTTCAGTTACATTCGATTCTAAGATAAACAAGAAACAACCTGACCAAACAAATCACCAAACGCCTATATTTCAACCACCTCCAAGAGATAATCCACTGGCACCTGCTAGACACCAGAGGTGAGCCTCCTAAAAAAAATCTGTCTGAGGACAAGCTGTATACTAGCATTGGTTCCATTGAAAATGATCTTTGCAGTGTTTCCACAACATCCAAGCCTCTGCTTTCCAGTCAATCTATTGTGACAGAATTGTGCTCTATTTGAATTTTGTTCCAATTCCAAATTAAGAAAATGGAATTATGTGAAATTCTGTATGACAATCACGCAGACACAGCACACTATGATGATTCAACAGGTCCATGTTACTCCAAAAAAAGAAAAGAAAAACAGACCTATGGCCTGGGAACCTGGCAGTGCGCTTAATCGATAATTTCCAAAGTGATCATGTTAATCTCCAAGCATGGTATTGAAATGAATCATGAATTCTCAAACCTAACCTCAGCAAGGACTCTACTTTCAATAATGCCCATAACTGCATTTGCTAAACAAATAAAATATAAAGATTGTAGGTTCAACGATTCCTTTGCCTAACTAGCAGGATATAAAACCTATAGAAATGCCCCAAACTTTCATTTCACACTATAATAGACCAGCATCCACATTGGCTCAGGTCTAACCCCCATTTTGATAGACCATGCCGATGCAATAATACACTAGTGCTTTTGCCACAACTTGGTAAAAAAGGTTTAACCAGGAGTTACTACTTACTATGCTTCGAACAGCTCGGTTTAATCATAGTCCATTGGGCCAACTCCTCAAAACCACAGTTCGCCATGCTACCCATTCAATTCATGTTATATTCCATCCATTGCAATTACATATCAAGGAAAATGTTAGTTTTCACATTTTACCAAAATACAATTTGTAGATGAAAGAAGAGTCAAATGTACAGCTGGTTTACCACCATACATGGAAAACATTCACATGTTGATACTATATTAAACACTCTACTCGTTTTTGGATGGTTATCCCACAGGATACGGGTACAGAGAAATATACTAAACTGAAGACATGTATCTAATACTATGATCACACATCTCACATCTGTGAATACCTAGATTCAGCCCCCTTTTTTCTGGTGAAGGGTAACTTCAGAGGTACCAACATTCAAAGGAAATAATGTTTACAATAACCATACAATTATAAAATTACAACCGTCTCCCAGAATTCCTATGAGCCTATACATTCATATCAATTTTAATGACAGCAGCAAGTAAGAAATACAAGTAGCACTTCATAGTTTATATACATGAGTGCCCGTCAGTACTCTCACTAACTCTATGACGAGGAATCTTGCATGCTTCTACTGAGTTTATAGATTTCCATGTAAATTTAGGTGTAGTGGTGGTGGGATGGGTGTAGTTTTACCTTGGCTCTGCATCTCATTGTTACTTCACTAAGAAACTGATTGTATTGTCATCTAAATATACTAATATAGAGGTGCATTCAGCAATACTTCAAGCAACATGAAACTTCTAATAGTACTACTTATGATTCCTATCTGAATATATAATAATAAATAGTGGCCCCTACAGCACTTACAGTCAAATATAGAGTCCACCAGAACAGCCATGAGTCCTTGTTCATCCTAGCCAGAGACTGCAACAAAAAGGTTAATTGAATTTAGGGCGTGGACAGTTGGACCAAAACAGGCAAAAAGAAAAACAAGAATGCAAATTGCCAAATTAAAACCTCTCCATTAAGGCACTCAAACTTCCAGACACTCCCTCCCTCATCACTGATCTCATTCCACCACCGCAACCCAACAAGTATCTGTGTACACCGAAATAACGCGGGAACTCAAATCTTTCAGGACTGTGTCGTCAAGAAATTGATTAGATGTGAATCGGTATCAACTGATTTAAATACGATGTCAGAATCGACTATTTTATAGATGACATCAGTAGACGGCGTCAATGGGCTATGCTTGAATGGCGTCAGGAAGATGTGTCGGACTTTACAAATAAGAAAAATTAGGGTCCAAATTATTATTAAGTTAGGAAGTTTTCTTTTATTCCAAGAATCGTAATGAGTCGTATTTGAGTTGGATTCATATTTAGGTTCCGGGTATAAATATTAGACCCTGGTTATTGTACAAGAAAATGAACACTCAATCAATACAATCTTTCCGGCTTTTACCATCGCATTAGGAGTAGGGGTACTGTAGATTTCGGCGAGTTCTTCAGCAAACAGGGCTGCATCGACTGATCGACTTTTAGCTTGTTTGTGAGTACCGTCATGACTTGTATTGTGCTTGTAAAACTGCATCAGCCGATTGATCTTTTATGAGCCATAATATAAATTAGTTATCGATCTGTATCGTAGTCTGTAAGACTGCATTAGCTGATTGATATCTTATGAATCATAATATAGATAAAAGTTATCGATCTTGTGTTAAATAACTTGTTGTTTAATACAATATCTCCAGTTATTGAATCTGCTAAGATTAGTAAGATTTTTCTTGTTGTTTTTTGGTTGATTCACCGGTTATCGATCTTGTTATAATTAATATTTTATTAATTATAACAAAATCACCTGATTGAGATAGAGATAGGTCAGCATCATATCATCTTATTTGATCGTCTTTTAATCTGGTCACGCTTTAAATCTTATAATTTATGGCTTAATTCCGCTAGATTGGCTGTTTTCTCTCTATTCCAATCAAGCATAGTATGCATTCAAAGATATATTTTAATCTTGAATAAATTCACTAGTTAATGTGATCTAATCTAATAACACTACCATAGTTGCATCGATCCGGTTGGACCTCACTTGTAAGACTTTAGATTAGAAATTATCGATTAGTGATCTTGTTCATGATCAAGACATGTACTCTATTTGTTTGCTATGACTGCATCGGCTATTTTAGCCGATTTGCCTATACTCTCATGCATATAACATGTTTCCATAAATATGTCAACATATAAGATGGTTTTATAGATTCTTTGACTTTAGTTTGTTGTCATTATCATAGCTGCATTGATCCAATCAAACCTCATTGTTGATGATAATAGATTAGATTCAAACTGTTTATAGATTCATTTATATTAGACAGTCAATTTGTTCGCATGTTATATTCTTTTCATCAAATTTATCGGCTTGATGCTTTATATCGATCATGTTTCATTGAGCCGATGATGCTTTCTGATGTTCCATGAGCATCGGTTATTTTAATTCATATCATTATCATTTAATATTAGCCGATAATCCTTGATTTAAAGATCTTCATTTCATGGATACGCCGGATATCGACTATTTAGTTGATAGCCTTATTGAATCAGCTATCTAGTCGTACATTTAGAATTGTCCGGTGCAACACCGATTTGTTCCATCTTAAATTACTGATAAGATTTTCTCTCCTTATCAATCGCAGGTTAAATTGACTAGCACGTCGTTGGATTTTTAGAATCGGCTGGTTCTGTGTTGAAGCCAAGCAGATCTCTGGTCTTGTTCCACTCAGATTATCCAGCTTGCTGTGTGTTGATCACATCGCCACATTTTTGTGTCAACACACTTTTTGGCACCCCTAGTGGGACCACAATCGTCATGGCGGTTCATAACAACAAGCATATTCTTATGGTACCTTATGAAGACTTATCTGATGACGATAAAGATGTTGTTGGTAAGGCTATAGAGGAGTTTTAGAACAAGTGCTTGTTGTCATACACCAAAATACATGACAATAAAGTTATTCAGAAATATCCACTGCCGAGAGTTTTGATGCATGGATAGTTAGATACAGACGAAGTTGATGATAGACATTTCTTTGTAGAAGCTATCAACAAATCTGTTCATGATGCAATGCTGAATCATAACACAGCTTTCTTGAATACATTCCACAATACCATGAAGGAGGTGTTTTATGGATTTCCACTTGATCAGATTGGACCGGCTTATTACAATATTCCGCATCCGTCGACTCAGGGGACTAATCAAGCCGGTACTAGCCATCAAGAAGCAGCACTAGCTAAGAGTGATGATGCCGAGGCAATTCAGAATTCATCTTTGTAAATTCAGAGTGCTACTACTAATCAAATGCAATATAATCCTGGATCATCAGTGTAGTATGTGCAACAGCTGACAAGGCAAGTTTAGAATCAGATAGTCAATTTTGGTACATCAGGCAAAATACCACCGTTGGCTCAAAAAATAGCACCATCGGTTCAAAGGATTCGTAGAGATACAGATCCTAATGTTTTCAATCAGAGATTTTAAACAGTAAATCAGCAAGGGGCCTGACAGATAGATATTCCATAAGGATATCATTATGGTTCAGATTATAATACCCTCAATATGATTTCAAATCTAGAATATCAAGGCACTCAGAATTTCAATCTGTAGATGGGTCAGCAATTGCCAAGAAATCCAAACTCAAATGTTGATGAATTGTTGCTCAAAGTAACCGAAATGATGAAAAATCAGTTTGGTTTAAAACCAAAAGGGAAGACCTTTTCATACAAACATCCATATCCAGAGTGGTATAATTTGGTTGCCCTTCCTATGAACTACAGGCTTCCAGAATTTGCTAAGTTCACTAGTCAAGATAGGACAAGTACAATAGAACATGTCAGTCGATATCTTACTCAGTTGAGTGAAGCCTCCATTGAAGAAGCGCATCGAGTTCGTTTCTTCTCTTTGTCCTTGTCAGGACCATCTTCACTTGGTTTTCATCACTAGCGGTTAATTCTATTACCAATTGAAATGATCTTGAAAAGAAATTTCATACATATTTCTACATTGGGACAGGAGAAAGAAATATCATAGATTTGACAACTATAAAGCAAATAGCTAATGAATCGGGTGCTGAGTTTCTTCAGAGGTTTTAAGAAACAAGAAACTTATGCTTTTCGTTGAATTTGACTGATGATCAGCTAGCTACGTTGGCCGTTCAAGGAATATTGCCAATATGGAGACAAAAGCTGCTTGGCAAGAATTTGACAATTTAGGTCAATTGGCTCAACGGGTGGTAGCACTTAATAGCCAATTCTAGAATATGCGCAGAGATACTCGATTCCAAAATAATGATGCAATCGCTGAAGCTTATAATCCATATTTAGTCGATGATAATGAAGAAGAAGGGGAAATTGCCGCAGCTGAATGAAATTGGGGTAAAAAGATAGTAATGCTTTCAAATCCTTGGGGAAAAGAAGTTGAAGAAAGTTATGATTTTGATGTTGCAAAAGTAGACAAACTTTTTGATTTTTTGCTTGAGAAGGGACAGATTAAACTGCCTGTCAATCATGTTATATTACCTCCCGATCAGTTAAAGAATAAAAAGTTCTGCAAGTACCATAACACTACTTCTCATACTACTAATGATTGTAGGATTTTTTGACATCATATTTAGAGGGATATTCAACAAGGGAAGCTTAAATTTGATACAGCTCGGAAAATAAAAGTGGATGATAATCCTTTCCCAAAGGATCAGAACATGGTTGATGCTAAGTTGTTCAAAGGGAAAACTAAAGTTTTGACATCAGCTAGGGTAAGAGAAACTAGAACAGTTGATTCGGAGATGCAAATATCACCTGATGAATATAGAGAAATTAAAAGGCGTCGTGACCAATAAAAGAGCCGATATAAGCAGGGAGAAACATCGAGAGATGGTGCGATAAGACCACGTGTTACATCTCGAATTCAGTTGAATAAATGGCAATGACAGAAGGAGAAAAATTATCAACGTTGGTTAGAAGAGAAGGAATATCAACGTCAACAAGAAGAAGAGAGACATGAAAAAGAACAAGCTGAGTCAGATTGGAATTGTCTTTCCTTCAG